CCAACCGTGCGACAAAGCTTCTGACGCGCCGCCGAATGCTAACTGTGGTGCGCGCTGCGCCCGCGGGCCGGTGCCGAAAGCCAGCAGCCACGCACTCAGCGCGGAGCAAGGAACTAAATATAACAAGGAGAGGAAGCGGATTGGCTGTGTGCTTTTTGCCTCAAGGGCGCCCATCTATGGACATAAATCAGCTGAAACGGCTGTGCAGACCGACCGCAGAACGAATAGAACCTAATCTGTTCTAGGGTCTCTGCCGAACCCAAATTGGCCAGATATGGCGGCGCTTCCTCTCCTTGTTATATTAGCTCCTTGGCGCGGAGGAGCCCGCTCACCTAGATGCCTGTCGCGCACGTAGACGAGCATGTACGCGGTTCGTGCAGTGCTTCACGCTCACGTCCTCCTCGTGACGCGCCAAAGTTTGTTCTCCATCGCCTCCTGCTTCGTGCATCGCGACACCCACGTCGTCGTCGAACTTGCACCACTGCAACAAGTCAAGGAAGCCCCCGCGGCGTCACGAGTGCGGCGCCGCGAGAGAGGATCGCGACGCGCAGTCGCGTCTCATACACACAAAGGCGTTTCGCCTAGATACGCGGTCGCGCCAGTATCCAATTATTCTCCCACGCATTTACAGGTAGAGAAGTTACGAGAGAGAAAATCTGGGGGCTTTCACCCTCGCTCGATTTCCTCACCCCAAGCAAGTTTGAATCCTTCTAAAAACTCTGTATTCTGACAACAATAAGCCAATGCTGGTGCCGCTGAGGGAGGAGAAACTGGAATTCAGAGGTGGCAAGACTCTGGGGGCTAAGTGGGTGGGCAGCCCGCAGCAAAGTCACGGGCCGAAGAGCGAGAGAGCGAAAGAGAAAGAATGAGAGACAACGAGGGAGAGCGAACGCGGCGATGGGAGGGTGCTCTTGATTTGTTTGCCCCTGAGTTTAGCATCAGAACACCTGCCGTCAGGTGAGCGCTGTCGCTCTGCGGCACTTGTATTTAGTTCCTTGCTCCGCGCGAGTGCGTCGGCTGCTGGCTTTCGGCACGGCCGGGGCGGCGCCACCACAGTTAGCTTTCGGCGGCGCGTCGTCAGAAGCTTTGTCGACGGTCGCAACTTTTGAGCGATGAGCGTCGCGCTGAAGTTATCGCATTTCAGACTGGTGATGGTCGTGTGTACTGATTACTGATTTGTACTGGTTACTGATCTGGTTTACTGGTTACTGATTTGGTGGGGGAATTTATGATTACTGACACTGCTTTCTATCCATATCTGGAAACAGGACCCAGGGGCTAGCATTCACAGTTGTTCCTGTTTGTGGGGTAGGTCGATCGAACGTTAGTTTGGTGTGCGGCCTAGCTGGGAGAAGGTAGTGGAGCTTAGTCCTAATTGTAATGTTTACTTGATATTGGTTTAGACAATTTCACGTTGAGAGTCGGTTCGACGATTCGTGAATGGTGTGCCGCTTTTCGTTTACAGCCGAGCTGCTCCAGACGGTCACGGAGAACGACATTCCGACGACACTAGTGGATCGGCTGCAGGAAGAGAAGTAGGTGCCCTGTGTGAGGCTACGGTTGTCTTGTCCTTCTCCCCCTCGTCCCTTCTTCACTTCAAGATCATGTCCAAGCCAGGGATGTGTGGTGCCACGAATCCGGGTGCAAGAGATGCGTGTATTACCGTGCGTCGTTGTATTTGCTGCCGAAAAGTTGTTCGGTAACGGTACGGCGCCTGTGGCATCACAATCTTTGCACGATCCTCATTAGCCGTCGTGTCAGCGAAGCACTTAAAACCTGCTGAAGCAACTTTCGGGGATCAACGTTCGTCGCGTACGTGACAACGCAGCGAGGCGCTTGCGCGTGCGCATGTCAGTGCGGCTTAAGCCTAGTGGTTGACTTGCGACGACTTTTGGTTGCTTGTCACTGCAACCGGCAACCGCATGCGATCGGTCGCACGCTCGGTTCCATTGTCTTTCCATGACTTATAAGTTATATTATCCGCATGCATGCGATTTCGAAGCTATTGCGAGCGACGAGTTGCTGAAAATCAAACCTGTTTGATTTCTTGCAACCTGTTGCAAGCGACCAGAATCGCTACGAGTTGCAGTTGCATGAAAAAGTCGCAAGTCTGCGCTAGGCTTTAATGACGTTTGATGCTCTCACTGTTTCAGGAAGCAGAAAGCCATCCGGCGAAAAGAGCGAAGTGAGGCACACCCGTTCATGACGATACTGGTGCGTTTAATCACGTGTTATGTTCACCTTAGCATGTTCACCTAATAGCCGTACTGTGATGATTCGGTGTGAGCATCGGGATGCTGAGTGCATAATTTTACAGATGGTATAAAAAGGGTCTTTAGCTGAGAGTGTGCTTACTTATTTATCAGAATGTTAATGTCCATGTTCTTTTATGTACTGTACCGTACTGCACTTTACTGTACTGTACTGTTACTATACTATACTATATT